CTCATCCTCGGTCCGACGCCACTCCGGAGACACCAGGCGACGTCCCCGGAGGTGGGAGCCGGAGCCGGAGCCGGAGCCCGATCCTTATCCCCGGTTAGGAGCCACCCCGGAGGCCCCGGACGACACCCTAGGAAGCGACTGGACCGTCCGCGCACTGGCCGATCGCTGGGAGCACGCGCGACGCCCTCTGCACGCGATCGAGGGGAGCGATCACGCAGCTTTCGGCCGGCCGGCGACCGGTGGGGTCCTAGCCACGAACACGGGCCACGCCAGGGGTGCATGACGGGCTCACAGGCCAGCACGCGACATGTGACACACCAGACCACCGCAGCATGGCATGCGCACGCCGTATTCACAACAGCGGCCGAGCTCAGGGGTGGCAGCAAAGAGTAATGATTGATTGGGCAGGAGGGGGGGGGGGGGGGGGCGGGGGGGGGGGGGCGGATGGACGGATATTTCCGGTCCATTCCTAGTCAGGAGCAGCACAGGCAGGCTTCAGCATAACCGTGGACGCGTCCCCCGGCGCTGGCACCGCCCTTGGGTGTAATGACAGGCACACTTAACTGTTTTGCGCACACAAACAGGCGACCTGACTGGATGAACGGTTCGTAACAGACCGCCCACCGTAATATGCCGGGAGCTCTGAGTCAATTTGCAGACGCACATAGCAACTGACAACATTTTTCCTTGGACTTACTATTATTTGATATGGTTGAAATACACCATTTGCAAAACGGACCCGGAATAGGTAATATTCTTAACATAATCCTTTACGCTGCCTGTTTGCAGCAGTTATCAAGACGACAATGACTCCTATATATATTATCCTCGCCAGACCGTTCGCCAAACTTCACCATACCAAGAGCCCAAACAACATGAGCCCGACCAGGTCGTCGCTGGCCGAGCGGGCGGGCCTGCGCCAGCGCGCAGCGCCGCGGGCTCATAGACCCATTACACCCGTCGACTAACGGCCCCGACTGCCAGCGGCGCACAAGCCTGTGGGTACCTGGCGACCGGACGGCCGGGGCGCCCGCCGGCCCGGCCCAGACGGGCGTCACCGTCACACATACGCGCTGCGCCGCCGCGCCCATCAGCGCACACTGAAGACTTGACCGCTCTCATTAGCCGGCGCAGCTTGTGTCCGCCACCGCACAGCTGCGCGCATTACACAGCGCGCAGCCGTGCGCATTACACAGCGCGCAGCTGCTCACGCCATGCCCGTAGCACATGTCCACCCTGGCGGCAAGGTCAGCGCCGTGGGATCGGACCAGCTCGGACATAGCTCAGCGACGCTCGGATTCAGAGCTCTTCCCTGTCCTATGCCGCCCAGTGGCCTCCCCTCCCAGCACCCTTCGGTCGGCATCTCCGAGTTGGTAATTGGGAAGCACGCTTGCGCCCCGGGGTGTTTGCTGTTTGCACACGTGCTGCGGGGACCCACTGGTCGGGAGACGAGGCCTCTCTGGGGTCACACGTGGCCAGCGGCGACCCGGGGGAACGGAGCCGATTGGGAGTGACCTGGTGTGACGCGGGGCAGTCGAAACATGACCCCACCTGGGATGACCTGGTGTGACGGCGGCAGTCGAAACATGACCCCACCTGGGATGACCTGTGTGACGCGGGCAGTCGAAACATGACCCCACCTGGGATGATCTGGTGTGACATGGGCAGTCGAAACACGATCCCACCTGGCACGACCTGGTGTGACACGGGCAGTCGAAACATGACCCCACCTGGGATGACCTGGGCGATCACGCTAACCTGACCCGACATGACCTGGTCAATCGGGGACGACCCGAGGACCTGCCCGACCAGGGGTCACGCGGGCCACGACCCGGCCGGTGGGTGGCGCGGCTCACCTGGTGCAGGGCGGTCAGGCCGTCCTCGTTGGTCGAGTCGGGGGTCCACGCCTGACTCCAGCAGTCGTCGCACTGCAACAGGGACGCGTCCGTCAGCCACGTGATGACGGTGTGATTGGAGTTTGCAGGCGCGCCCGACGTCGGAGATTATTTTGCGCCCACTCCCGTCGTCCGACCACACCCCTGGGACGGCTGGTAAGGAGCGATACGGGCGGCTGGGTCCAGTGAATTCGGTACAAGTCTTTGTCAGGGGACAATGGGTGCCCCCTCCCGTTGAAATTTTAAATATTTTGCACCTTGAATCAACAAAAACTGTTGCCGTTCGTACTGTCCAAAAGGAGAGATCATCCATTTCTTTTTTGGTCTTTCCAAGCGTACGAACTACAAATCGTCCGGAGAAGTACGGCTTTAGATAAAATATGGCAAATCGCGAAACGCGTACCGGCAACTAAGGTATTTGCGAATCCTTATCCACTTGCGACCTACTACGTCGTACAACTTTCGCCAACTGTATCTAAATGCCGACTTCCTCCAATGTTGCTCTTCGGCAAGGGGTGAATCTGTCCCCTACCACGGACGTCCAGTAGTCACTTAAGTAGTTTTGACTACGGCACAGTAAGTAAATACCCGAACATTATGGTACAACAAGACGATGCCGGTTTGACTTCCGCCGGTAGTTACAACACGCACTGACAGCGGTCGCATCCTTGCCATGTCTGCTAAAATCACACCACGATCAGCACAGTAACCTCGTGAAGACCCCACTCGCTGTGTTGTGGAGAAGCGAGAGCTTCAAAATCCGGCCGACGGCGCCTCGCACTCGGCAGCTCGCCGTATAGTAATAGGACAACGATCGATCCAAGCACACTTCCGAGCCTTCTTAGTCCGCTTATAAGCGGACGGTGCCCGGCGACGCGGCCGACACGACGGACACGGACATGTTTGTAGGCCGCTGGACCGGAAGCGGCGCTCGGGAGGATTGGGCAGGGATGTTCGCCGCGGCGGCTCCAATCTATAGCAAGACACAGATCCATCATAGCGATCCAAGACACCAGAGCGATCATAGCAAGACACAAGATCGCGGGTGTTTTCGCTAATGATTCGTTGCGATCTCCAGCGGGATATCTGCGACGAACGTGGGTTGGTGCAGCACGGTTGCTTAACCAAAACCCAACCAGCAATTTTTCAAACCGAGAGCGAAGTGACCAACAGCAGCGCCCGCGCCGGACCGTCAGCGGCGGTTCAGCCTAGCCTCAACAGGTGACAGCACCCTCGTGCCCTCGGCCGGACAAGCACGGCGCTTGGAAGCACGCGGGACGCTCCCGCCCACTACATTCCACAGATAGGTCAACTGTCGAGAGTCGTTGACGCATCAGTGCCACTGCCACTGTAAAACAATAACCGACCATAAATGTGTTTAGCATATCAGTGAAAGCCGTGTCAACGATGGCGCAACGACGCGTTTGCGGCAGACCCTATAGGTCGCTGTTGAATTCCAACGATCGTCCCCACAGAGCGGCGAGAGCCCACATTCCAAACATCATCGTCGAAGCGTCATCGGCGAGCCGCCGCTGAGTGACAGAACTCGTTTGTCAAGCATTACGGTAGGATCAGGCTCTGTCATTTCCCCAGCTAGCGCCCAGTAGCCGGCTCATAATCTAAGACATCGCGGCCGTCAGCTCCAGAAATTGGTCGCCTGCGCGTACATAATATGCATAGTTTTGTTTGCGTTAAGCAACGACTGCGACAGCAGGGCATTTCAAAACGTGGGGGGCACACTGATATACTAAGGCCCCTTCTTCTACACAACGCCCACAGGCTCCAGAAAACGAGGAGGAGGATGGGGATGGGGTGGCTCTCGCACCACCCGTGCCTCTCCAAAATATGGCAAGCTCGGCTCTCGGCGCGACGCTTGGGTGAGGCGCCCGTACGCCGCACCCGCACGTCACCATCGGGCGCCATCCGAGATTGGCCCATTCCGGCTGGCAGCGTCGCGCGCATGCAAAGCCCGCCGGCGATCTGAGCGCCTGTCGGCCCGTCAGAAACACTCTGGCCCGCACGACTGACGCCTCAAGGACGCCCGGCCGTCGGCCGCCCCGAGCGGAGACGACGCGCGGCGCACATCGCCGCCGCCAGTCCTGTCTGCCGCTTGAGATAGCGCCGGAGGCGGGGGGTGGGGGCTTCACCCTGGCCGGCCCGGCGAATGCTCGCCCCACAGCCGCGGCGGGCTATCCGCAGCGCCTTGGTGTAACAGCAGAGAGAGCCGTCGGCCATTATTTACGGGACGGGACGGCGGCTGATTCCAATCTCGCTTCCGCTTCAAAGCTTCGGAGTCAAATTGGGCTTAGATTAGTTTGATCGATGCGACTCAATTAATCTTGGCTGGTCTATAGGATCGCGAAAAACAGCGGGGCCTGCATTCAAAGCCGCGCGAAGGCCTCGCATATAACGCTACAGGGTGTTTCATTTGAAATGCAAATTTCAAAAAGCCTGTGAAAAACGCCTCCACGTCGCAAACGTTAACAACGCCTCCACGACGGTCTCTTGAACACAATGCACTGCCCCCCCCCCCCCCTCCACTCCAGCATTACCCCCAATGCCGATATCTTGCAAAGATGTGTTCAGTCGCTGAACGCCGGGAGCGAAGGCCGCCATCGCTAGCTCCCCGACCACAAGCAATGTGTAAAGGACACCAATCTAGATAATTTTCAATAATTTTCAACAGCATTTTCACATACCGTGTGCTTGGCTTTTTCAGAATCCTTCGTTGCATTTCGAGTGAAACACCCGTATAAGTACGAAGGGCCGGAGGGCTGATGACACTCAGACTGCGGTGCCATCTTTTTGCGCACAAACACAACACAATAAGGCCACATCCGCGCACATTTGGGCGCAATCACCAACAAACCACGCAAAACAACGAACAAGCGGAGAAGAAAGACAAAACGCCGACATCCAATCAGCACCCGGGAAATCAGCCGGGGGTCTGGCTACCACGGCGAGTCCGGCGGCCTTGTACCGGAACCGACATCAGGCGCAGCAGGCGCCCCTGAGGCCCGGCTGCCATCACTGCCCGGAGACGTCAGCGGCCAAACGGCTTCAGGAGCAGGCGCGCTGAGGCCGGATGCCATCACCCCGGAGACGTCAGCTGCCAAACGGCTTCAGGCGCAGCAGGCGCGCCTGAGGCCCCGGCTGCCATCTGCCCGAGACGTCAGGCCAAACGGCTTCAGGCGCAGCAAGGCGCGCCTGAGGCCCCGACTGCCATCACTGCCCGGAGGCGTCAGCGGCCCAAACGGCTTCAGGCGCAACAGGCGCCTGAGGCCCCGACTGCCATCACTGCCCGGAGACGTCAGCGGCCAAACGGCTTCAGGCGCAGCAGGCGCGCCTGAGGCCCCGGATGCCACACTGCCCGGAGACGTCAGCGGCCAAACGGCTTCAGGCGCAGCAGGCGCGCCTGAGCCCCGCTGCCATCACTGCCCAGCAGCCCGCCTCAGCGGACAAATGGCTTCAGGCGCTTGGACCACCTAGAGAGCCGCGTTCCATTCCCGTGGAGGGAAACTTCCCAATGGACCAGTGCCAAAACGGGGGCGGCAACGCGGCCATAGCCCCAGCACTTGCACACGTCGACCAATGAGCCAAAGCCACCACTGCACCAGAGTAGCGTCCGCCCTCGGCCGGGGTGGTGGCGGCAGCCCCCGGCAGGTCACCCGGCGCCGGTCGGCCCAGCGGATCGGGCGGCGCCCCGCCGGCGCTCGGTCGCGCTCGTCCATCATGGCGGGCCTTCCGCGGTCTATTCATCACTGCCACTTCCAGGCGGCGGCCGCTTGCAGGCCGGGCCGGCGGCACACGCCCCTCCGCCGGCGGCAGACGCCTATCCGCCGGCGGCATACGCCTTTCCGCCGGTGGCAGACACGCTGGCGCGGAGGTGCCTCATCGGATGTGGACCGAGTGGTCACGGGCCGCCGGAGCCGCTCTACGGGTGCAGGAGACGGCCGAGGGGGGGGGGGGGCGGCCGCGGGGCAGCCCGGTAAATGGCTACCCCCCATGTCCATGGTGGTCATGCCTGGGCTGACTGGACACAAAACAACATGTCATGATCTCTCTCGCCGGTTGTTTGCGTGAGCCAGCCAAAAACGGCCCGGTAGCCAGGCTTGAACCCACCATCGGCCTTCCGCCGCCGGCGAGCGCTCAGTAAGTCTAAGCGCGTCCCCAGTCACTGCGCCTACCGGACTGCGTTATTCAGGCTTCAGTTACATATGACTGAGTGTTGACACGCACAACGATGGGCGGTGTCATCGTTCGGTTAACACGTCGGAATGAGTCGCATCCGATGAGGTTCTTAACATCACACCAAAATAACATTCTGGAATGTCACAGTAAGCGTGTGAACAAGTCGGGTCAATCGACAATTACCAATGTCAAGGCACATCGTCTTTTCCTGTCCTTTGCTCACATAACAGAATCACTAATGGAGATGCGTGTAGAAGTGCATGTTAAACGATGCGATAATGATCCCTAACGATGCACAAAAACGATATTTGGAGCAAGACGATAAGCCCGAAGTACATTACTTCTGATGCTTTTGACACTTCGCTATGTCATTGCCACAGGTACACTAACATCACGGAAGCCAATGCATTACGAAACCAGAACCGGACAGGATACGTATGGCAGAAATTATATGAGTTTCGCAGCACATACATGAAAGCATACAATTGTATTATTCCCAGTATCATGATGCGATGGCGTAAGCGACACATTTAAGTAATTTACAACATGGCTGATC